GTTTGTGCACGTTTACTGTGTTAAACCCCCCCCTAAAAAAAAAAAAAAACCCCCCCGTTCGCGGCTCATTTCAGAGCCGCGGCGCCGGGGGAACGTTTTAACCACGCCGGCAAAGAATCGGGGTGACGAAGGGACCCCGCTCCCGCAGGTGACGCTCTGCGCCGACGCCACCGAGGAGGATCTCCTCCGAGCGAGGACGGAGCTGACCGATTTTTTCGGCTGGATGAAAACCGAGCTGCGTTCCCGCGCCGTAACCCGCGACGCCGGTACCGATCCGACGCCGGATCCCGAAACCTTGGCGCTGCTCCGTGCCTACTCCGACTCCCTCATGGAGATGATCCGGAGGAGGTTGGAGGGCAGCAGCCCTGAAACGCTTTAAATCGAGGTATCGGGGTGCCGACCCCGTTTCCCGCTTCAATTTTGGGGGGATTTTTTAGGCAATTCTTTAAGTTTTAACCATTTTTGGGCCTTTTGGATGTATGTTTTTCTCCGGTTTCCATCTCATCCCGCTCCGAGCCCCCCAAAATCCCAGCGAACGCCCCGGCAGCCGCGTCCCCTCCCGGCAGCGGGGGCGGAAACGGCCGCCGCCGTCGATTTTAAAGGTTGTTAAAATAATAAATGTCTTTAAATCGAAGCGAGGGGGGTTTTGGGGGTGCGCCGATTCGGCACCAAGCGGAGATTTGGGGGTCAGTGAGGGGATGTGGGGTGGTTTAGGGTAGCCAGGAGGGTGATTTTTGGGGTCCAACCGGGCGATTTTGGGGTACGGGGGAAGATTTGGGGCAATTCAAGGCTTGATGGTGTGATTTGAGATACGGTGGGGGCGATTTGGGGGGACGGGGGGGGAATTTGGGGTAGCCGGAGGGCAATTTAGGGCACCAGGACTACAATATGCATGGGGGTCCCCGATGTCCCCACGGGGGTCCCCACACTCCCACGGGGGTCCCCGACACCCCCACAGGGGTCCCCACGCCCCTGGGGGGTCCCTGATTTCCCTACGGGGGTCCCCAATGTCCCCATATCCCTGGGGGGTCCCTGATGTCCCCACGTCCCTGGGGGGTCCCCCACACCCCCATGGGGGTCCCCGATGTCCCCACGGGGGTCCCCACACTCCCACGGGGGTCCCCGACACCCCCACAGGGGTCCCCACGCCCCTGGGGGGTCCCTGATTTCCCTACGGGGGTCCCCAATGTCCCCATATCCCTGGGGGGTCCCTGATGTCCCCACGTCCCTGGGGGGTCCCCCACACCCCCATGGGGGTCCCCGATGTCCCCACGGGGGTCCCCACACTCCCACGGGGGTCCCCGACACCCCCACAGGGGTCCCCACGCCCCTGGGGGGTCCCTGATTTCCCTACGGGGGTCCCCAATGTCCCCATATCCCTGGGGGGTCCCTGATGTCCCCACGTCCCTGGGGGGTCCCCCACACCCCCATGGGGGTCCCCGATGTCCCCACGGGGGTCCCCACACTCCCACGGGGGTCCCCGACACCCCCACAGGGGTCCCCACGCCCCTGGGGGGTCCCTGATTTCCCTACGGGGGTCCCCAATGTCCCCATATCCCTGGGGGGTCCCTGATGTCCCCACGTCCCTGGGGGGTCCCCCACACCCCCATGGGGGTCCCCGATGTCCCCACGGGGGTCCCCACACTCCCACGGGGGTCCCCGACACCCCCACAGGGGTCCCCACGCCCCTGGGGGGTCCCTGATTTCCCTACGGGGGTCCCCAATGTCCCCATATCCCTGGGGGGTCCCTGATGTCCCCACGTCCCTGGGGGGTCCCCCACACCCCCATGGGGGTCCCCGATGTCCCCACGGGGGTCCCCACACTCCCACGGGGGTCCCCGACACCCCCACAGGGGTCCCCACGCCCCTGGGGGGTCCCTGATTTCCCTACGGGGGTCCCCAATGTCCCCATATCCCTGGGGGGTCCCTGATGTCCCCACGTCCCTGGGGGGTCCCCCACACCCCCATGGGGGTCCCCGATGTCCCCACGGGGGTCCCCACACTCCCACGGGGGTCCCCGACACCCCCACAGGGGTCCCCACGCCCCTGGGGGGTCCCTGATTTCCCTACGGGGGTCCCCAATGTCCCCATATCCCTGGGGGGTCCCTGATGTCCCCACGTCCCTGGGGGGTCCCCCACACCCCCATGGGGGTCCCCGATGTCCCCACGGGGGTCCCCACACTCCCACGGGGGTCCCCGACACCCCCACAGGGGTCCCCACGCCCCTGGGGGGTCCCTGATTTCCCTACGGGGGTCCCCAATGTCCCCATATCCCTGGGGGGTCCCTGATGTCCCCACGTCCCTGGGGGGTCCCCCACACCCCCATGGGGGTCCCCGATGTCCCCACGGGGGTCCCCACACTCCCACGGGGGTCCCCGACACCCCCACAGGGGTCCCCACGCCCCTGGGGGGTCCCTGATTTCCCTACGGGGGTCCCCAATGTCCCCATATCCCTGGGGGGTCCCTGATGTCCCCACGTCCCTGGGGGGTCCCCCACACCCCCATGGGGGTCCCCGATGTCCCCACGGGGGTCCCCACACTCCCACGGGGGTCCCCGACACCCCCACAGGGGTCCCCACGCCCCTGGGGGGTCCCTGATTTCCCTACGGGGGTCCCCAATGTCCCCATATCCCTGGGGGGTCCCTGATGTCCCCACGTCCCTGGGGGGTCCCCCACACCCCCATGGGGGTCCCCGATGTCCCCACGGGGGTCCCCACACTCCCACGGGGGTCCCCGACACCCCCACAGGGGTCCCCACGCCCCTGGGGGGTCCCTGATTTCCCTACGGGGGTCCCCAATGTCCCCATATCCCTGGGGGGTCCCTGATGTCCCCACGTCCCTGGGGGGTCCCCCACACCCCCATGGGGGTCCCCGATGTCCCCACGGGGGTCCCCACACTCCCACGGGGGTCCCCGACACCCCCACAGGGGTCCCCACGCCCCTGGGGGGTCCCTGATTTCCCTACGGGGGTCCCCAATGTCCCCATATCCCTGGGGGGTCCCTGATGTCCCCACGTCCCTGGGGGGTCCCCCACACCCCCATGGGGGTCCCCGATGTCCCCACGGGGGTCCCCACACTCCCACGGGGGTCCCCGACACCCCCACAGGGGTCCCCACGCCCCTGGGGGGTCCCTGATTTCCCTACGGGGGTCCCCAATGTCCCCATATCCCTGGGGGGTCCCTGATGTCCCCACGTCCCTGGGGGGTCCCCCACACCCCCATGGGGGTCCCCGATGTCCCCACGGGGGTCCCCACACTCCCACGGGGGTCCCCGACACCCCCACAGGGGTCCCCACGCCCCTGGGGGGTCCCTGATTTCCCTACGGGGGTCCCCAATGTCCCCATATCCCTGGGGGGTCCCTGATGTCCCCACGTCCCTGGGGGGTCCCCCACACCCCCATGGGGGTCCCCGATGTCCCCACGGGGGTCCCCACACTCCCACGGGGGTCCCCGACACCCCCACAGGGGTCCCCACGCCCCTGGGGGGTCCCTGATTTCCCTACGGGGGTCCCCAATGTCCCCATATCCCTGGGGGGTCCCTGATGTCCCCATGTCCCTGGGGGGTCCCCACACCCTTGGGGGGTCCCTGATTTCCCCACGGGGGTCCCTGATGTCCCTGGGGGATCCCCCACACCCCCACGGGGGTCCCCGATGTCCCCACATCCCTGGGGGATCCCCGACATCCCCATGGGGGTCCCCAATGTCCCCACACTTCCACGGCGGTCCCTGACGTCCCCAGAGGGTCCCCACGTCCCTGGGGAGTCCCCACGTCCCTGGGGGGGTCCCTGATGTCCCCAGAGGGTCCCCATGTCCCTGGGGAGTCCCCACGTCCCTGGGGGGGTCCCTGATGTCCCCACAGGGGTCCCCACACCCCCACAGGGGTCCCCGATGTCCCCATGCGGGTCCCCATGTCCCCGCGGGGTCCCCAATGTCCCCACGGGGGTCCCCAATGTCCCCACATCCCTGGGGGGGGTCCCCCACACCCCCACGGGGGTCCCCGACGTCCCCGCTCACTTCTGGCAGGGGTGGTCCTCGGTGCGGGGCAGCGTGGGGTCCTGGGAGACGTCGGCGATGATCTGCGTGAGCTCGCTGCGAGGAGACGCCCCGGGGCCGTTAATTACCCCCCTTAATTACCCCCAGCCTATTGATAACCCTGGGAACCCCCTCATTAATTCCCTCTAATAATTACCCCTATTAATTACCCCCCCGCTAATTGCTCTTGAATTGTTCTCCTTTATTACCGTCCTTCATTAATTCCCCACCAGTTTTCCCTCAGCCTTATTAACTGCTTCAATTACCTTATTACCTTATTAATACTTACTAATTATTACTAATGAATAATTATTATTAACAAATAATAATATTGTTATTAACCAATAATATTATTAACCAATAATATTATTAACTATTATTACTATTAACTAATAATGTGTTCTCCTTTATTAATTGCCCCATTATTTACCTTCTATTCACCTCCCCTTATTAATCACTCACCCCTTACCTCTCCCTAATTATTCCCTTATTAATGACCTAATTTACTAATTACTTTCTTATTAATTACCCCTTTTTAATTACTTTTCCCTTCTTAATTTCTCTTGCAACGCCCCGCCTGGGCTGGGAAACGCTGGGACGGGGACCCAGGCCTCTGGGAGCGCTAACGAAGCCGCGCCGCTAACGAAGCCGCGCCGCTAACGAACTCACTCGACTTCGTGGGTGATCTTGTTGACGTAGATGCAGCTGTTGTCGGCCTCTTGTTGGTAGTCGCAGTTGCGGCACTGGGGGGGGGGAAGAGCGAGGGTTATGGACTGGTCCCAGTACCAAACTGGGAAAGGCGGGGAACAACCCCATGAGGCGCTGGGGCTGGTCTCAGTGCCAAACTGGGAGAGGCGCGGCGCCGTGAGGCGTTGGGACCGGTCGCGGTGGCGGCTGCGGAGGTGGGCACAGCCCGTTAGGATGGTGGAACTGGTCCCAGTATGCCCCCCAGCACTGGTCCCAGTGCCACACGGGGGTCGGGGGACACGCAGACCAGTAGCCTGGGACTGGTCCCAGTGGCGGGGCAGGGGGACACTCACGGCGTAGAGCAGGATCCGGTTCTCCTTGTCCTCCTTGGGGTA